ATTCTGATTCATGTTGCCTGAATTTTCTCATCCATTTCGATGAGATGGTAATCTGATTGTTCTTGTTTCTTGCCTTCATACTCTGTGTGAAGTTGTGAAAGTAATCTTGCCCGTTATGTCCTGAAGACCTTGTTTTGAACTTGGTCATTTTCTGATTGTCCGCACTTGTTTGGACTTGTTACGTGAATAGAATTTTTGTGTGCTCTTTTGCCACCATCGTAAAACTTGGGGAGTTGCAGAGATTTTTGTTATTGATCCTGTTGGTCTCTACAGCATAGCTGGTTGAGAAATTTGCTCTGTTTGTCATATGACCAATGGAAGTTAGGCAACCCTTTACTTTGTAAGAGATTCCAGGCTATTTTAGCAAATGTTGTGTGTTTTTCTAGCTACATTTTAGGAGCTGGATAACTTGGTAATTCCGTTGCTCCTTATCTTTTGAAAGTCTTATAGTGAAGTTTCATTTTTCCATTTGGAGCTTCATGGTCTTTTCATGTGGCTCATTTTTCTATATTGGTTAATCAAGAGCAGTGATCATTCAATTGAAATTGCCTTGTTTTTGTGAAGATTGGCAAGCTGTCATAAAGTTAAACTCTCTATTGTTGCCAATCTTTACATTCTTGATATTTGGAATTGCTTGAAACTCTTGAAATCCGTCTTGAATCTCTCTTGATATTGCTTTGTACTTGTTCTTGAAATTGAAATCCAAAAATGGATAATGATTATTGAAATCTTCATTATCTCGATTCTTGTCTGAAATTAATTCTTGCATTGTTCTTGGAATCTAGTTTGAATTGTCATTGAAAACCATTCTTGTCTTGACCCTTGCTCTTGTTCAAATTCTGTATATTGTTCTTGCTCAAATCTTGCATATTCTGCTAGTTCTTGTTTTGGTATACGTGATGATCTTCTCGATTTTTGATTTTTGTTCATATGGACACCTCTTTAGGAGGGGTGATGATTATCAGAAAATACCTATGTGAGGCATCCTCATTCTTGTCTCTTGCAAGTGTTAATCTCTGTATTCTTGATGCCTTAGCTTTGACTTGACTCTAGGATGTCTAGGCTAAGCAGATTGTAGCCTCCATGAGCTACGAGGTGAAGGGGTAATTTTTGAAGTACCAGATGCCCTAGAGTTTTGTTCCAAGAGAAATGGTTCTTTATCTGGCTGTTTTGATTTTGTTTGCCTTTTAATTAGAAGATAGTAATCTTCTAAGCATCTTGATCCCAGTCATTGCTTGTTCTGTTAATTAATTCTAGTACTTGAGGTGCTAGATCTTGACATTCTGATTGTATTTGCTCTTGAATCCATGTTCTATTTGTCATTATTGAAATCTCTTTTGTGGGCCTAATTTTTGGAATTCTATTGCTTGTTTCATGGTTAACTCTTGTTTCTCAATTTTGACTGCTTGGTTAAATTTGATCTTGATTCTTGGTGAATGCCATTTTGTTGCTGAAATTCTTTGAGGCATTCTACCTTGCACTCTTATGTTCTAATATTCTTCCAAGCATTCATATTTTCTATTGATTTATTCTGTTGCAATTCTTGAGATTCTTACATGTCTTTTGATGGTCCTAGCTTTTAACTCTTATTAATTGCTAAAATCTGTCTCTTGATTTCAGTTGCCTTGTTAAATATGATCTTGGTTCTGGTTAACCTTGTTTTGTGGTAGAATTTGTAAGGCATCCATGCACTTGTTCATTCATTCATGATCCATATATTCATTGGATGCTTATCTGTCTTTGATAAGAGTTCAAAGTCTTGTTGTACTCGTCTTTAAATCCATGCCATTCTTTGCTAACTCGTCTTGTGTTGGGTTCGTAGCGTAACCCCACAATTGTTCTTCTGTGGCTTTGGCAGGATTTATTTTTATTCCTTGTGCTTCCCATGTCACCCCAACCTCTAGTAGCTCATTTCATGGTAAACCCTGTTAAGTGATTAGTGTTCTGCTTCTATGATTAGTGTGGTTTGTTATTAGAGTGGCGCAACGGAAGCGTAATAGGCCATATTTTGTTCATGAAGAGTTAGTGAGGCATTTGTTTTGCCTTGGATTGTGTGAAGCCATTCACTAGTTTAGATGATCCCCACTTTGAGTTTTGGGGACAAAACTCTTTTTTAGGAGGGGTGGATGTAATACCTCAAAATTTTGTGATATTTAAGTGAGTTAGGGACTTGTTTGAGAAAGAAATATTGTTTTGGGTTTAATAGCCAATATTTGCCAAGTTGAGGGACTTAAAGAGGGAAAGATTTTGGATAAGGATGACTTCTTTTCTTTTTCTCCTTTTTCTTTCTTTCTTTTCTTCCCAGCCTTGCCCGATTCTGCTCTTCTTCTCATTTCTTCCCGCTGCAGCCACCTGAAGAAAAAAAGAAAGAGAACCCAGCCATGCCTTGGAAAATTGGTAAGGAAGCTTGGTATTTTCCCCTTCCTT